CCACTAACCTTGTATGCATTATGAGTTTGGCGGTAATCAGTGGAGTTCACCTCACTGTATTTCGCTGTACGATGATGATGATGGTGTATTAGCCACCCTCGAAGTTTGACTCATCCGAACGGCGTACGACCTGATGAACTGGACACCGATCCCCAATGGATTGCGGTTTTCACACTGTCTTGCGGGTCAGACTTGGGCTGATCGAAGTCTCCGGTTGCGAATTCCCCAAGAAAATTCACTTGGTTTGGTTTGGGCAAACTGGCAGTATTCGACCCATAAACAAATCATAGAATTTTTTTCTTTTTTATAAAGATTTTTGTGTCGTAATTTGTTTGGATTCGGACGCGGTTGTGAAATACAATAATAAAACCAGGAAGCTTAACACAATCTGCATAGTCAGTTCTATCGGTTAGGACTCTCAGACCCCGTTAGGTCAAGGTTTAACTAGCACTGCCATTTTTTCAACCCACCTTATGGCGAAGTGATTCTGCACCCTTAATGAAGCCTAACCCCTTAGGTCACTTATGTTCCAGTCTTTACTTCCAAAGAATGTGCATTATCATTTTATGCTATCCTTATACTGATCACAACTGTGAAAAGGAAACGTAGAATGAATATAAAAGATTTATTTTCTTGAAAAAATATCGATCAAAAAGCCAACTTTTTGATCATCAAATATACATGTTTTCCTATCCGAAAGCCTTGAAGATTGCTTGCATCACCGGTAAGCTGCATGAGCAATCCACCAAAGGACACATAGCAAGATAGGCGGCTTGCATCACCCCCACTGTCATGCGCCTCAATCCGATAGATTTTTCCGTAACACACATAATCAAACTCAGCCATCTTGCTATTGGCCAAACGCTCATCGGTCTCCTCGGCCGCATCATCCTCGTCGTCGTCATCGGCATCGGCGGATAAATCATTTAGCAAACTTTTGGTCAAGACCATGCGAAATTTGTCACCCTTCATCAATCGATAAATTAAAGAATGGATATCCAATATGAGACCCATCTTGAACGATTCGCTTTCACAGAACAGTCGAGACACTTTGTCGAACTTCTTCCCATCTTTGTCAACATCTTTCACATCAAAAATATCCTCCAGCAATGCTGACATTTTGAGTGGTATACGCGGGTCGAGCCGAGCCGACGGTTAACTCAAGTCTGCAGTGCAATGGGATAGCATCAAACGATGAACTAAAATTAAGAAAAACAAAGATAGAATGACCGATAACGCTTGCAATGCACAGCAAGTGTGATTCAGATTTTCAAAAAGATTAAGCTTCGTGGCTAAAAAAATACATTACACAGTATGGGGGAAACAAAGCACAAGAAACAGTCATGGTTTCAACTCGTTTCTCTCCAGCCCATACTATTACCTACTTCTATTATTTTTGTAGTTCGGTGCTTAGTTTTAACATAATATTACTAACAGAACGTCCGTTATTTAATGATATGGCTTGATACATGTAAACCACCAAGTCTCGACGATAATCCACCTAGGTCACTCATCAAATGAGTTCCGGAAACGGCGCTCAGGTGACGTCTCGCTTTTTCTCCTAGTTTAAATTCTTCGCTTGTGAGAAAAACGCCCATAATTCTATTAACAGGAACGAGGCAGAAACACGTTAGATCTCTATAGCTAACACCCTTTATCTCGTGAGTCGTGGAATCACTGGTCGTAGATCAGCATCATCATCGTACAGCGAAATACAGTGAGGTGAACTCCACTGATTACCGCCAAACTCATAATGCATACAAGGTTAGTGGTAAAATTTAAAGTGGACAGGGGTTGGATCTATTTTGAGGAAGGGAGAAGATGAGCCACTATGGTCAACACACAGTACGCAATCGAACTCTGCATACATGCAGTTTCGAGCATTCTGATCTGATAAGAAACGACAACAAGAACGCCACTGCTGCCGGTTCGCTGCCATATCCTTCAATGTCTCCAATTAACCAGTTGTGGAGTCTTTCGGACCCCAACCTGGAAGGCGAGAGATACCTACTCTACCTAATGGCTCTGTGCATTTCTTCATGCCTCGCCTTCACGTCACCTATTGACCTCCGCGTGGTTTCCTCCAGCCCGGATTAGCTACAGCGAATAAAGCGCGGTGCGGCCGACGATGGCTGGGCATACGCAATACATGCCCTAGCCAGCGAAGTCTACTAATCTGAATTCGGTGTGCCAGCAGGTTTATACCTGATAGACTATCAAACACACGACGGCTTACCTCCACGTTACTAACCCGTTCACTCCATCCAACATGGGCTAAACTACGTAAACACCGATAATCGAAAACTTCTAGTCGACGGAAATCTTCTACTCGGAGATTCAGGGTCTCACAACCATAAAGCAGGACTGAACGAACGCTAACACAATATACACGACCTTTCAACTTCAGTGAAACGTCGCGTCGACGCCAAAGGTGTTTCAGTCCTGCGTATGCTGCTCGAGCCTTGGAAATGCGGGCGGTTATCTCCTTTGCTGCACTACCGTCATTAGTCACGCAACTACCTAAGTAGGAAAAGTAATCCAGCACAACTAAATTCTGGCCATTTAGTTTCAGAGCGCATGCCTAGCCATCGTCTGCCACACTGCGCCCCATTCGCAGTTGCGGCTCCAGATAGGAAGAAACCGCGTGGAGACCAACGGGTGATGTGGAAGCGAGGCATGAAGAAATGCACAGAGCGATTAGGTAGAATCGGGGCCTCCCGTCTTCCAGGTTGAGGTTCAAAAGATTGCAACTGGCTGGTTGGAGACATTGAAGGATATGGCGACTAACCGATAGTAGTGGCATTTTTATTGTCATTTCTTATCATGTCAGAATGCTTGAAAAGGTATTTATGCACAGTTAGATTGTGTACTCTGTGTGTTGACCATAGAGGTTTATTTTCATTGCCTCCCGTTAATTGGGCCCAATCCCTCCCCCATCTTATGCTTATCACTTGATTTGTGTACATTGTGAGGTTGGCAACATATTAGGGAAGTTCGCTTCACCGTATCTCGCTGTACGATGATGATGATTATTGTAAATACCAACAACAACAGCTGTTTCCAAGTCCCTCGGTAGCTCTCCCTGATCCCGGCTGGTTTAGTATAGATCCCTTAATGGTCTCGCCACTATATCTGCTATGGTTTTTACGATTGCTGCGTTGATTCCGTCGGACCCTGAGTACTTACATTCAGTTCGGCTGATATCCGATGAACTGTTTCCAATGACAAACCCATGCTTTATTTCCTCATAGGGAGGTGGGTATCGCTGAGTCCCATCAATTAACTGAAGTACGTACAGAATGCCTCTGCCTTAGCTTGGTCACCGATGACGGTGTTTTCCTGCATCTGTAAAGGTTCTGTCATTCTTTTGTTGGGACCCTTGGCCTGAGCGTAGCTGTAGTAACGCTTAGGTTCCTTTTTTGGCTCGGTTGACGAGTTTCACCTTCTGGTCCCTTTCCCCCTTCTAATGAGCTGGATTGACCCAAAACGTTTTGTGGTGTACTGCCTCTAGGCCATCTGGGAACTCAAAGCTCGAAAAGCTTTCCGGCCTCAATTTCTACGCATTTTCGTCCCACCTACAGCTGCATACCGCCATAGCAGTTTCCTCCTCGAGCATTTGTGGGTTAAGGAAGCGAACTCGTCTTGGAGGTGAACTAGGTGATCTCTTATTACACGCCAGCGTTCCTTAGCACTGAATGTTGCTCGGAACTGTCCCAGTCCAACTGAGCTTGGAGCAGTTCCACGTTCATCTTTCCAAAGTTCCTACCCGTCCTCACACGGGGTCTTGGTAGTCCCGACTGAGGTGTCAACTTGATGAGAAGATGATCACTTTTACCGACGGGGGAGGGGTTACTCAGGACTTTGGCCCTTTTCCTCCTTGACTGTGATGAACAGACCTATCAGAGAAGGCTGCCGGTCTTCTCGATACCCAGTTTTCTCTTTTACGTGTTGATAAAGGTCCCGGGAGTGTATCCATTGACGTTAGCGTTCATCTGACCCTGAGGCCACCTCTCGAACTCCCAGTCGACATACCTGAGGTTGACGTCACCTGTAATGACCAGCTTCTTTGAAGCTCATGCTAGGTTGTCTGGTGCCTCAATAACTCCATGGTCTTCCGGTTGGGTCGCATTAAGACCCCTGTACATACAAGCAATGGATAATTTTTCGTGATCTATAATAAGATCCACTGCAACTAGCTTCTCATAGACAGTATAAACCTAAGTTGTTGATTCTACTGAGTACACGTGGGGTCATACTCTCAGTGCTACTTCTCCTTGTAAGGAGCTACTCCTGCCAGTTCCGTAGGCTAAGAACTTGAACTATGCTCGGATTAGGATCATCCTCAGAAAGCCAGTTTTCTGTCATGGCTGTCGCGGTAACCCTATAAATTTCCGCTGTCATTAGAAACTCGGCCTACTTGTTTCTGATACTGCGAGTTTTGTGTATCGTAGTGTCAGCGTGACCCAGTTTCCTTATTCCTGATTTCTCCTCGGGCGGAGCAGCTGAGGAGAGTTCTCTTTTTGGGGCATCTACCTCATACCTGTTTGGAGTTGTGCAACCCTGCCTAGCGGGTTCTGAAACCCTTTTCATGGTCATGCAAACATCAGTGCTGGGGTAGACGATACCCAGTCTTGTAGCATCACGTTGCACTTTGAACGTGCAAAGCGCATGCCGAACGGAGCAACAGAACTTTAAAGTCTGTCAAGAGCGTTTTGCGCAACCCCATACATTCCAACAGACAAACGACAAGACTGCACCTTGACGGGATGTGACGGCTTATATACCTCTCTGACCCAACTAGCTACACAGGATGGCTTTATAAAGCCAGGAGATCTTATCATACCTGGAAGGTCGAAGTTCGGTCTCCTGGTCCTCCAGGTTGGGGGTTTGCATGGAATTTGGCGTTTCAGTCGATAAAAAGCGGTGGAGGAGTAATTGATCCAAGTATATGGACCTCCACTTCGCCTCACCCGCTGCCTTGCGGTCAGGTTCTTGTTAAAACTAAAGGCTTTGGACGAGAACCCTAATCGTTCTCCTGCTTAGTGACTGGACACCTTAGCAGTACCCGTCCACCAAACCCCAATGCATACACAAAATAAAAATATATTCATACTGCATCGGTCGTCGCGTAGGATAATCAGGACTGCGCTGCCCATTGCATCGAGCGGGCTGGGTAGTGATAGGTGGGCTACTGCTCAGATATCCCAATCCTTGTTCAACTCTGTCTTCCGTTCCCAACCCTCTTCTTTACTCCTTCTTCCAACCCGTAACATTCCCTCAGACAAATTGTTCGTCACTCGCCAAAGTTCGTCGCCAAGTAGCCCACAAAATAAATTGCAGATTCTGAAGCCACGTCAGTCACTCAATCTGGGTCCTTCAACGTGAGGATTTTGATGCAGGTAGGTCAACAATGGACACCTTGGGGATTGATGTCTGTTGCGTATTCGGAGACGCGGATCCTAGTACTATAAACCACTTAAGTGCACCGGGGTTGCCTTCGAGGTTCTTCCTCCGCGCGTCAGGTGATGACGAAGCCCACGCAGTAGGCCAGCGTGGCGTGGGCATTGTACTCAATAATATGGCCGAAGCTGCACTACTCAACTGGATCCCCGTCAATAGTCGTTTAGGTGCGATGCGGCTCCAACGGTCCATCAGCGTCCGGAAGGGAAGCAACACCAAAAGGTGTTTGTTCATCATTTCAGCGTATGCTCCGACGAACTGCAGTTCTGACGAACAAAAGGACGACTTTTATGATAAACTCATCGACCTTATTCGGTTGAGTCGATGCTCTGATATAGTTGTTCTCGCAGGTGATTTTAACGCTCAAGTCGGAAAACTGAGCGTATCACTGTGGTGGGCGGCTCTGCTGTCGCCCGGCTCACTACCACACCTGATCTATTGAGGCCTTATGTGGTTCGCCACTCCAAGTTTCAGGATCATGGTTGCCGGTTTTTTCTCAAAACATAAACATGACAATACAAATTCACAAACGATCACGTACTCTCGCTCACTCTACGCACTCAGACTGTGAACAAGCACTCATCACCCTCACCAACATTCGCGGACTGAACGGCAATATTGATTCTGTTCACCATTTCCTACATTATTCTTCTTCGCTC